TCTGCTCAGACCAGGGTGAGAGGTCGACCCCTCGGTCGACCCCTCGGTCGACCCCTCGGTCGGTCCACGACCCAGTCCTACAGCAGTGTTATTTTTAGCCCCAGAGGGGGTGAACCATTGGTGGAACAGCCTCTCCGGTCTGTTCTATTATTTTTGTTGTGTCGTCAGAGCAGTTTTATCTTTGACTGTGAGTCTGTGTGTCACCGTGTGCGTTTGTGCTCTTTTTTCTCCTGGTGTTCATTAAAGCAGGATAAAAGCTGCTCTGATATCAAAGTGTCATCTGCTCTCCACTCTGTGTGTGTGTGTGTGTGTGTGTGTGTGTGTGTGGGCATGTGACTGAGTTAAAAGAGTGTTTTGATCAACACCCTGGCAGGACATTCAAAGCTGGGAGACATTTCTTCTTAACCCAGAAAGGAGAACAAACAGCACATAATGTGCCCACGAGGAAGAAGAGGTGAATCTGCATGAACAAAGACCAAGATGAGGACGAGGACGAAGATGAAGATGAAGACGAGGAAGAGTTCAAATAAGACACAAATGTAGTTCATCTCCAGTCTGTCAGAGCTGAGCTCCATTAATACTTTGATATAGTACTTCAGTCTGATCAGGTATTATTAGATCAGGTGTGTACTGGTGTGTACTGGTGTGTTATATGACTGTTGTTGCCCCCCCCTCTCCTCAACCCCCCCAACCTCTCCCCCTCTCCACTGGTTTGTCAACTTGAACCCAGGACGCTCAGGGATGTTTCATTTGTGTGTTGCCGTGTCACTGCTGATTAACAAATACAGCTTGTCACACACACACACACACACACACACACACTGACAGTGACATCATTACTGTCTGTGTATCTTGTCGTCAGGAGCTCCACTGTGGACCAGCTGAACAAGGACCAGGTTCTACCAGGGAGCAGTGTGTGTGTGTGTGTGTGTGTGTGAGAGTCTGTACCAAAGACTCAGACGTGACACGTCAACAAACAGAGAAACAGTCAGTGAAGTCAGGTGAGTCATGAACTTCATGAACTGGTTCGTGGTTGTGACAAACTTCTTCTCACATTTGACACATTTACATTTGTCCCCCCCCCTCCCCCCCCGTAGTCGTCTTATCACTAAGTCAATCCAGCCCCAGGTGTGTGTGTGTGTGTGATAGTTGCCAGGTGTCACTTCTGTTGATGTACACAAAGTCAGGACTTTCTCAAGTGCAGGTGTTCAAAGGACGGGGGGGGGGGGGGGGGGGGTGATATGAAGTGACCAATCACAGCGCTCCCATTAGCTTTATAATAAGTTCAGTTCTCCCTCAGATGTCAGGAGGAGCAGCTCCAGGAGTCAGTCTCCAGGAGTCAGTCTTTTCTGACTCCCAGCTCTGTCTGGTTTTCAACACACTGAGATTGTTGTTATTTCAACAGGAGTTCTTTAGATGTTCCTATTATTCCAACAGTCTAATCAGTGGCCGTGTGCCCAGAACTGGCTGTCATTTTCCAGAAACTTCACTTGGGCTTTGATCACACACACACACACACACACCTGCTCTTTGATTACCAGCATTTTAAAGATGGAGGCGCAGGAGTGTGTTGAACAGATCCTACAAACCTACACACACTGGCATTCATGTGATAATCACACACACACACACATCTATTTCTCTAGTCATCATTGTGTGTGTGTATGTGTGTGTGTGTCAGTAACCTGAGCTAGAGTTATAACTGTGATAGCACACTTTTCCTAATCTCCCTGGAAGCCAAGCGTAAGCCCCCGGAGAACAGGCCGCGGCACGTTGTTCTCACCTGAGGGGCACCACAGTGCACCTGTAACGGTGTGGAGACAGAAATAGAAAAGAATGTTGGCAGGAAAACAAAGACAGAGAGAGAGAGAGAGAGGGAGGCCACATGGCTCTTTAATCCATATGTTTCCCTGTGGCTGTCATCATTATAAATGGATTGGAAAGAGAAAACTAGTGTCATTTTGTGTTTGACAGTTAAAAACACACACACGACGACTCCAGTCTTATTGTAACGTGTTTTTACTGTCCTCTCGTGACGTTCTGTTGGTCCGTACGACTCAAGGTCAAACTACTGGAGCTTCTAACCATCTTCAGCTAACTTCCTGGCTAACTGCTAGCTGTATCTAACCATCTTAAGCTAACTTCCTGGCTAACTGCTAACTGCTAACTGCTAGCTGCTAACTGCTAGCCGCCTTTGTCTTTTCCCCTGGTATTTCCGGTGCGGTCACATGTTTGCACCTCGTCACATAAAGCACTCACCTGTGTTCCAGTTGTTGGACGTATTTCTTCTGCTCATCCAGAGTCTCATTGGCCTGTTGGAGTGCGTCGCTCAGACGGTCCTCCCTCTCCTCCCACCTCCTCTCCAGCTCCTCTCTCTGCCTCTTCAGTTTGTCTTCTTCTAAATCCCGCAGCTCTCTCCTGAGTTGTTCCTCTTTTTCACCACTGGTTTTGTGGTGCTGCTCCTCCATCTCTCTCCTCTTCCGTTCAAACTCCTCTCTCAGAAGGTTCTCCTTGTTTCTCGTTTCTTTCTCCAGCTCCTCTTTCAGGTTTTTCTCCTTCAGCATCTGCAGCTCCAGTTTCCTCTCCCGCTCCGTCCTGCTCAGTTCCACAGCCTCTCGTCGGGCCTTCTCTCCATCAGCAGCCGCTCTCACGTCCTGGAGCTCAGCCTGCAGCTGGGACAGTCGGGTGTTGAGCTGATGAAACTCGTGGTAGACCAGGTAGCTCACCCCGCAGTAACGACACAACGTCTCGCTTCGCTCCATCTGCAAGAAAGTTTAATAAAAGAAATTTAAAAAAAGATTGAATTTCCAGCACCAAAAACATCTTCACATCCAAATCCTCTAGTGATAGAATTGTGAATATTGTATTTTCCTTCATAGATTTAGTCAATTTCCTGCAAAAAGTGAAGAGAGAAGATCTAAGTTCAGTTTGACTTCAGTGTTGGTTGGCTCACTGATCACTGATCGTTGACTGTAGCTGAGTGTGGTTTCTTCTCTGTGGTCTCCAGGTCTAGTCGGTGACAGAGGCAGGAGGTGTTTGTGTGACATGTCTGGTGTCAACAGCTCCAAACTGATAACAAGGAGGTGCTGTTTGATACTGTGGCGTGAAAATGAGCTGGAAAACATTCATTTAAAGACACAGTTTGAAGGTTGACGAGACTTCGTGGCTGCTGTACCGGCTCATTATGGTGATGACGTGAAAGAGCAGATCACAGTTCTTTAATGAGGAGCAGACGGCGGGGGGGCACGGGGGGGGGGTGTAAACATAAGAGATTTTATTTTGATTTTTATT